GTTTAACCTACCACCAGCCTGGCGTGTTTAGCCTACCACCAGCCTGTTTAACCTAGCACCAGCCTGTTTAACCTACCATCAGCTTGTTTAACCTACCACCAGCCTGGCGTGCTTAGCCTACCACCAGCCTGTTTAACCTACCATCAGCTTGTTTAACCTACCACCAGCATGGCGTGTTTAGCCTACCACCAGCCTGATTAGCCTACCACCAGCCTGATGAGCCTAAAACAGCATGTTTAGCCTACCAGCATCCTGTTGTGTTTAGCCTACCACCAGTCTGTTTAATCAACCACCAGCTTGTTTAACCTAATACCAGCCTGTTTAACCTACCACCAGCCTGTTTAGCCTACCACCAGCCTGGCGTGTTTAGCCTACCACCAGCCTGTCCTGTTTAGACTACCACCAGCCTGTTTAACCTACCACCATCATGTTTAACCTACCACCAGCCTGCCATGTTTAGCCTACCACCATCATGTTTAACCTACCACCAGCCTGCCATGTTTAACCTAGCACCAGCCTGTTTAACCTACCACCAGCATGTTTAGCCTACCACCAGCCTGGTCTGTTTAACCTACCACCAGCCTGATAAGCCTACAAACAGCATGTTTAGTCTACCACCAGCTTGACCTGTTTAACCTACCAATAGCATGTTAAGCCTACCCACATCCTGTCCTGTTTAACCAACCACCAGCATGTTTAACCTAATACAAGCCTGTTTAACCTACCACCAGCCTGGAGTGTTTAGCCTACCAACAGCCTGTTTAGCCTACCACCAGCCTGGCGTGTTTAGCCTAGCACCAGCCTGCTTAACCTACCACCAGCCTGTTTAGCCTACCACCAGCCTGGAGTGTTTAGCCTACCAACAGCCTGTTTAGCCTACCACCAGCCTGGCGTGTTTAGCCTAGCACCAGCCTGCTTAACCTACCACCAGCCTGTTTAGCCTACCACCGGCCTGTCCTGTTTAGCCTACCACCAGCCTGTCCTGTTTAACCCACCACCAGCCTGTTTAGCCTACCACCAGCCTGTCCTGTTTAGCCTACCACCTGCCTGTCCTGTTTAGCCTACCACCAGCCTGTTTAACCTACCACCAGCCTGGCGTGTTTAGCCTACCACCAGCCTGTTTAACCTAGCACCAGCCTGTTTAACCTACCATCAGCTTGTTTAACCTACCACCAGCCTGGCGTGTTTAGCCTACCACCAGCCTGTTTAACCTACCATCAGCTTGTTTAACCTACCACCAGCATGGCGTGTTTAGCCTACCACCAGCCTGGCGTGTTTAGCCTAGCACCAGCCTGCTTAACCTACCACCAGCCTGTTTAGCCTACCACCAGCCTGGAGTGTTTAGCCTACCAACAGCCTGTTTAGCCTACCACCAGCCTGGCGTGTTTAGCCTAGCACCAGCCTGCTTAACCTACCACCAGCCTGTTTAGCCTACCACCAGCCTGTCCTGTTTAGCCTACCACCAGCCTGTTTAACCTACCACCAGCCTGGCGTGTTTAGCCTACCACCAGCCTGTTTAACCTAGCACCAGCCTGTTTAACCTACCATCAGCTTGTTTAACCTACCACCAGCCTGGCGTGCTTAGCCTACCACCAGCCTGTTTAACCTACCATCAGCTTGTTTAACCTACCACCAGCATGGCGTGTTTAGCCTACCACCAGCCTGGCGTGTTTAGCCTAGCACCAGCCTGCTTAACCTACCACCAGCCTGTTTAGCCTACCACCAGCCTGGAGTGTTTAGCCTACCAACAGCCTGTTTAGCCTACCACCAGCCTGGCGTGTTTAGCCTAGCACCAGCCTGCTTAACCTACCACCAGCATGTTTAGCCTACCACCGGCCTGTCCTGTTTAGCCTACCACCAGCCTGTCCTGTTTAACCCACCACCAGCCTGTTTAGCCTACCACCAGCCTGTCCTGTTTAGCCTACCACCAGCCTGTCCTGTTTAGCCTACCACCAGCCTGTTTAACCTACCACCAGCCTGGCGTGTTTAGCCTACCACCAGCCTGTTTAACCTAGCACCAGCCTGTTTAACCTACCATCAGCTTGTTTAACCTACCACCAGCCTGGCGTGTTTAGCCTACCACCAGCCTGTTTAACCTACCATCAGCTTGTTTAACCTACCACCAGCCTGGCGTGTTTAGCCTACCACCAGCCTGGCGTGTTTAGCCTAGCCACCAGCCTGTTCAACATAGCTTAGCATCTGCTGCTCTGTCGCTGTGATTATGTTGGCTCTGGAAACAATTGCTGCTGGACAGAAATGAAGGGGGGAGTCCTTCATTGTGTGCAGACATTGTTGATTTTATATGCGGGTCCATACATTACAATATTCTGATATGGGACCAATTTCCAAATTCAATATCGAATTGGGACATCCCTAAAAGAATGCCAATGTTTGTGTTGGTAGCTAGTAGTAGTACACAATAGAGTACATTGGCTCACTCTATATTAAGAAAAGACATTGTCTGTAAACAGGTTAGAACATCGTATTGCTAGCGTTGTTCAGCCTTTAAACAAACACCCTGTTGTGAAGCAAGTACAGACAGATACTGGTATAGAGTATGAATGTTGATATCCATATGCTGCTGCCTATCAAAATAATTTAGTATAATTAGGATTTCATTTTTGTTTTTTCAAAATCCATGTTGACCTTTTTTTTAACCCACTCTTTATTAGCCTTTGCACTAGTTATTTAAGCTTAAACACAGTCTGGAAATTAAACACTTGACACTGTTTAGAGTTAAACCTACCTCCAAACCCTGTTTTAAACAGTTTCCAGGACTAGATTTGTCCATATCTGCCTTTCACTTACATTTTTAGGAAAAATAAACCAAGTCGAATTGTTTATGACTGGGCTCTTTTTAGCTTTTTTGGGTCTACAAGTAAGTTCAGAATTAGATCAGAGCATGTAGGCCAATTGGGCAAAACAGGACATCATGCAAACAACATCAGTTTAAAAAAATCATGTTTTGATGCTGATTTGTTTTAGTCAGTCCAAATCCTTCAATAAACAGTATTTCAGCCATGCCTTTGTTTCTCATGTCAGCTTTAAATGTATATTTTATGCATTATATAATGACACATGACATTACTCTTTTTGCTCTCTGTATGTCTCAAGATGTGTAAGAAAATGCTTTGTCATTTTGTGCTAACTGCAGCTTCTGCATAGTAATGTCTTTCCAGAGCTGTTCGAATCAGACACAAGCTTGTCTATTGATACTCCTCTGCGTGTGTGTTTGTGTGAGGCAGAGATCTGACGGACGATAAAAGAATATTTAGTATTTACAAGGTGAGCTCTTGATTTATTCTATCCTGTAGACAAAAAGGACACACCCACAGCCAGGGCTCACTCTGCAAGAAAACTATTGTTTTCCTTCTCTTTCAATCATGTTTTTGTTCTATTTTTAACTGATAATTGTGTTATATCTGATAATTTGACAAGTTTGCAGGCTTCACTTGTTCCTGCTTGGATATATTAGCGCGTGCTGTCACCTCTTAATTTACCTCATAAACTGCTAATCAATACATAAACCAAGGTGATGAGGCCGTGGTATCACTTTCTCTATCACTGCCTCCAGTTTTAAAGATATTAAAATCCTAGCTCAGTGACCATCAAGCTGCTAATTCCCTGGGGCATTAATTTCTTCTCCAGAAATAATGTGAGGCAAAATAACTCAGACAACAAGCACTAGTCCTGTTTTAGCATGTTCAACAACCACAAACTCCAATGTATTTTATCAGGACTAAACTCAATATAGTGCCCAAGTGGGAGGTTGAAAAAAAGGACAAATCGTTTACAGATGTTTTTGGAAAACAAAAAGACAAAAGCTGACGTTTTTTATGTGTAAATTAACATTGGAAAACAAAAGCGTTTCTGTGAAGGATTCAGAAACAGCTTTAAACATGTTTAATAGAGCCCTGTTGATTCCATCAAATAGGAAGACTGTGGGACAAATATTACTCAGAAAATCAAGTGTGTTACGTTTCCAGTGCTGGTGTTACCCATTGAAAGTATGCTCTTAAATCAACACTTGATTGACCTAATTCAGCTATGGGAGTGTTAGTTCCTTGAATGAATTGGTGTTTATCCGCATAGTTCAATTTAGACAACTCTGTCAAGCGTGGATTTTATAATATACAGAAGAATTCTCCCAAAATGCCAACCTATCTACCAGCAGATCTCTTAAAACACACTGGCTAACAATAACACCAGAGGTCTTAGCAGTTGTGGCATAGAAGGCAGAATCTCTTTATGCAACTGAGGGATGCGGGTTTGAATCTATTGCAGTTTTTTTCTTTTGCCCACACCTGCCCATTATTGCTTAAGTGTTGATGGTGTTCAGACTTCCCTGTTTACGGCAGCTCTGCATCCGTCAGCGTGCCCCAGGGCAGCTGTGGCCACAATGTAGACAGCTTGGGATTATTTACCACTGCTATGCTAATGATATCTAGCTATATTTGTCCATGAATCCTGATAAGTCTAAACACTAATTTGTGGTGTTAAAGGGGAACGCTGTTTTTTTTTACATTGGGCCCTTGATTTTATGTTATTACATCATGTTCTACTCACACATAGGAGTTTTGTGTCATTTGGAGCTGTTCTGAAGATATTCCGTTAGGTTATCTAAGAATAAATTGTGAACAGTTTAGTTTGTTATATCCAAGTAACCTAGGTTATATCCAAGTAATGTCCTCCTATTGGCAACGACTTGAAGGCACAAACTAAACTGTTAATAATTTATTCTTTATGGTACGCCAGCATTCATAACATGTCGGCGAATCACTGTCCCCCAGACATCCACAGTTATATTTTTTATATTTATATCTTTTAAAAACAAAGCGTGTGTATATAATAAAATGCACCTAGATTTTGGTGGTCAACCAAACAAAGAAATACTTTTGCAAACAACTCTACATTAGCTTTAAATTAGGTCTGGAAGCCATTATTAAAGGAGGTGATTTTCACCAACTTCCCAGCTTACAGGTGGGCCACATCCAACTGACCTTTGACAGTGGAGGAGAATTGGGCCGAGTGGCGAGTTATAAACAGCTGCAGCTGCTGATCAAGGTCACAGCACTTCAAATCGACATCCCAGGATCGGATTCCTGCAAGGGAGGCAAAGAAAAGACCTCTTTAGGAAAAACCAAGCAATGAAAGACAGACATGAAAAATAATGATTAAAAAAAAAAACATTCCTGGGTGGTTTTTTTTAAGCATCCTGAGTAAAAGTTACATGCTAGCTATCAAAGACGCTTCCTTTAGGTGTTTTTTATACGCATGAAGTAACCTTTCACCATCCGTTGCTGCAGCTTTCTAACCATACTCCATCTTTTTCCTTCTGCTGCCTTAATTGTTAATAATTTCACAGTCCATACAAGACAATACTGCAGTAAATTAGAAATATTAGTGTTTTTTGTAGATATTGTTACTGTTTTTACCAGTGTTGCACTGATACTGATACCAGTATCGAGCAGGCCCCCGATCCAGCACTAAAATGGTGGTATTGGTATCGGCCAGAGATGGGAAGTAACGAAGTACAAATATTTCGTTACTGTACTCAAGTAGATTTTTCTGATATTTTTACTTTACTTTACTACTTATTTTTATGGCGACTTTTTACTTCTACTCCTTACATTTTTACACAAATATCTGTACTTTCTACTCCTTACATTTTTAAAAATTGGCTCGTTACTTTAGTTTTGAATCATTTCAATGGAGTTACCGTTATTATTTTTCACGTCATCAATACCAAATTAAATCTAATTGGATGGGAATCTACGTTGCATTTGACGCACCACTACAAGATGAATCGACAGATTCGGCGGTATTCATTTGCAGCAAATCATTGCAGCTTGGTAGCGGTGGCGTTAGCATAGTAGTATGGACGACGAGATGATTGAAAATGAACACAACAGAGATCTAGTCCTATTGGCAGACATCCATTTAAAATGTAGGCAAAGGCATGAAAAAAGTGGTTTCTATTTTTACTTTTATACCTTAAGTAAATTTACAAGCTTGTACTTTGTTACTTTTACTTGAGTAAAGAAGTTTAATCAGTACTTCCACTTTTACCAGAGTATTTTTTAACACAAGTATCTGTACTTTTACTCAAGTACGGAAAGTTAGTACTTTTGCCATCTCTGGTATCGGCGAGTACCAACAAATAGGGCACCGGTACCATTTTGAGAACCAAAAGTTTATTGTCACCCATTCCAGGTAGGCAATAAAAAGTTCTACTGGATTCACTTTGTATTGGTCTTTTTCTTGCTTTACAAAGGTAGACAGCAGCTTGACAAAGCCATGATGACAATTATTTTACATCCAGGTAGTATGCAGTTATTATTTTATAAACACACACACATAGATTTCAAACAGATGGTATCTTTATGGTATCGGCCAATACTGCACAGCCAGGTATCGGGTATCGGTATCGGGGACAAAAAATGGCATCTAGTTTCTACTTTTTTTTTATTTCTTTCATCAACCCCCTTTTCCGATTACTTGACAAATTTAACTTGCTTGATAAATTGTTTGATCAAACTATCATATAGAGTTCAATGTGGCATTTACATGCTTTATAATCTATTTCAAAATTTAGAGCTAAAACCATATGTTTGCTCCACAAATCGCTCCACTGCTGCTGCTGTTCCTTTATGGTACTCTGCCACAACTCTTACACTTTAATTTAGTACCCATTATAGGTCATAACAGTAATTGTTTGGTACCATGGTCGTCAATGTTACTGGGTCCACTTCAACCGCCCTTTTTGAATTGGAACCTTTAATGAAGTGGAGCTTAAGATCTGCTTCATTGAAGCAGATTCCTTCAGTGAAACCTCTTGTGAGTGGCGTTTTAGCACATAGCACCGCCCAAGAGGTTTCTGTAAAAATCTACAGTTAGTGTAGATTTTCTGGTAATGTTCAGAGTCTATTTCTGACTTATTGTTACAGTAGCAACAATTCAAAATGGCCTTTCCCAGTCAAATGCCAGCCGAATGGCGGCCCACTTCCCCCAAACTCCCAGAAAGATCCCCTCCAACTTCCAGCCACCGGCCTTCTCATGTGCGTGGATATTTTTTTGCTCTGACTCCACCCTTTCATCACAGTGAATCACAGTGTCTGACTAGGAGATGACGCTCTCTTTTTATCTTTATGTCCACAAATCAGAAAGAATATTTAATACAAAGATTGATTATATACTATAGTATATAGATATACTATACTTTTTTATACTGCGAGATCAATAAAGAAAAGCAATCAATCAGTCAATTAATTAATCCAATCATTGGTCAATTTCCATCTTTTTTTTTAAAAAAAGGGTCAATGAAAATCATGTTAACCAACAGACCTATGACCCCCCAAAAAAACTGAAAACATTGAATTATATCTAACACCGAACAAAATCCTTTTGGAAAAAATTTATCTTTGATAACGTCTATTCGTCCACTTTTACTTATCTATTGGCAATGGCTTTTAAAGATATCCATTTGTGCATGATGCCCAGGAAATGTGTTAATGTTAAAATAAATCACATACGGCAAGCGTTTCATAATAATAACTAATAGTATTTACTTCATCATTTTTGAGAATGAAAACAATTTTTGCAGAGGTAGGATCAATATAATGATTCACAAAACAGGCTCAAATTGGAAGGCAACCAGACTTTTGCAGCTTTAGCAACAAATCCAGTAAACATTTATTTTGCATTCACAATGCTATCCTGGAAAAATTCTCAGAATACTTTTACTCTCTTCTTATGACTTTTCAGAGAAAAAAAAAACACTTTCTTTGTTTCCACGTTTTCTTATTGTGCATGTGAGAGTAGAACAGAGAAAATACATAAAGGACTAACAGGGCCCCATAATCTAACTGGAAATCCTTTGTATGCAACCAGAGGAGCTACTGGGGTAGAAATTTGCAAAGTCACAGTACGTGACTAGGCTGCTTTAAAGGCAACTCTGGGGACTGTAAATGTCTAATTTGAGTTTTAAAGCTTAAAAAGTAGGACTATATTTCCAAGATAATTCCTTCCCATCAGAAAGCTTCACCTCATGTTTTCTCTGAAAGCATACATGTTTAAGATAAAAAGCTGATGCCTCATCACAAGAAAATCAATCAAGTTAGAGTTCAAGTTACCAAGTTAGATGGTGACATAATATCAGCATTACGTATATCTGATTACCCTGTTTACCACATCATCCAGACTGTGAGTATGATAACATAAGAAATGACTGAGAGCTATGCACACCGACTATGTTACACAGGGGAACCTGACAGATTTCATCCAGCTCCAAACATTTATCCCTTCAAAAATAGTCCACTTCAAAAACGGCAAACATTTTAAAGGGGAAAAAATGTTTTAAAATCTTCTAAGTCTGAGATAGAAACTTTGCCCTTTGATGTACAGGCCTTTCATCTGTGGGTAACAGCGTGCATCTAGTTATAAAACATCTTCACCCAAAGCAGAATGAGGTGGGAAAAAGTCACAGTTTCACATCATCACATATGCTGATGGAGCTGCTTTCATCTCCCTAACATTACAGCTCACATTGTGGTTCCTTCCATTTCCCTGTGAAAACACCACACGTGTATGAGGCTGATGGATATTCACCTTTTCTCATCTGGTTTGATCAAAATTAAACGGAATACTGATGGCCTTAGAGGGTGTTGTTGAGAACGGAAAGTTCAGCCTGTTCCCAAATGTAGAAAGATGTTCACATTATTAAAAATGGTATCAGACACAAACTTTTAAATGAAGCGTTTTTGGTTTTATATTAGTGAAAATGTAACGATGAATTAGCTTATGTCCCCGAATAATGAGTTGACTTTGTTTTTTAGTGTCTTGCAGAGAAAAGGCTCTAGTTCATGTTCAGACCCCGGGTCTAGAGTCTGCACGTTCTCCCTGTTGGTTTTCTGGATAGTTTTGTTCCCTCTTTGACTGAATGACTGTGAGGTAAAGTTAATTTCTAAACTACTTATGTAATGAAAGGCCTTTTTTTGTGAAGAACCAAACAGCATATAAAATATTTCACTCTTTTTTTGCAAAACGTTCCAGATGTCAAACTTTGGGAAAACTAGATTGAGATGTACAGCTGGTGACAAAGGCATTCCTCCCTTTAGAAATCCACAGATAGCAGATTTTTCAGGCCGATGCTGGTTAAATTACTATGGCATCATTTAACTGATCTCTGATATGTGCTGCTGATTTTTTGTCCGATTCTTAGAGCCAGTGTCGCTTTTTACCCCTCTATGTACTTGATGAAAATCCCATAATATTAAGCAATATGATGTAACTAACAAAAAACAAATAGTAATTACTGAAACTATGAGGAAACTTTGGAAAGCAAATGAGGAAACTGCATTGCATGCACTTCAAGTGATCTTAAAGCATGGCTGCTGATTGCACCAATGCAGACTTTTCTTACTAGGCCCTCTTTTGTTTAGAGGAACATTTTTGGGCCCCTCCACTCTCTAAACATGCTCCAATCTTCTTAAAAGTTGAACAAAGGTCAACAGTATATCAAATATTGCAGTTAAATAAATTTTGCAATAAAATAAACTACAATCAACTTTAAATCTCTAGCTATTTGTTTCAATTTATAACTGTTCCAACAGCTCTATCAACAGATAAATAAATAAATAAATAAATAAATAAATAAATAAATAAATAAATAAATAAATAAATAAATAAATAAATAAATAAATAAATAAATAAATAGAGAACTCTCAAACTGGGAATATACTCAATAATTTCTACCACTCTTTGTTGCATTTTCACTGTTCCACCCCTAAGGGTGGAACACCTCCAAGTTTTAGAACCTTTATGTATTCACATATCTGCAAATACCCACAGAAAAAAAATGGAACACTTGAATTGGCCTAATATTTCAGCTCTAAATCCATTTAGACATTCTTTAAATTTATCCCTATTTCAACCTTCTTCAGTGTATTTTATTGTGTTTTTATAACAGATCAACACAACGTGTCACATAGCTCTGAAGTGGAAGGAATATTAAGATATGTTTTTTTAGTTTTGATTGAATTAAAGAATAAAGAGCACAACTGCATATTCATATAAGTTCAGTTTATTTATATAGCTCCACTCACAACACATATTATCTTAAGGCACTCTATAGCAACTATTTAACCAGATCATACAGTCAGATTGGTTAAAAATATTCTGTCTATAGAAAACTACCGACTATCTATACAGTATGCCTAGCTGTGTGTTTCCTGGACGGGCCGCCTTTTACAGCTGCTTTTTGTATCTCTGCTTCTGTCCCCTTGAACCCCAGTCAGCCTTAGCAGATGGCCGCTCACACTGAGCCTGGTTCTCCTGGAGGTTTCTTCCTGTTAAAAGGGAGTTTTTCCTCTCCACTGTTGCTACAAGCATGCTTAGTGTGCAGAATTGCTGAAGAGTCAATGAGTCAATGCAATCAGCTGGTTTTCCTTAGATAGAAAACTTTGTATCAATTTGACTGTCTGATCTGGTGAACTGGAAAGTGCTATAAAGTATAAAACTGAATATTTTCACTCTCAGACTGTGAATTGGCGCTATAGAAATAAAGTGAATAGAATTAAACTTTAACAGATTATTCTTGTCAAACAGGTATAAACGTTTTAGATCTATTGTCTGTATTCAAATTTAAGCCCACAGATGGTTGAACAGCCCTGAGCAGCTGCTAGTTCACCTATATTTTATACCGGTTTCTGAAGCATCTGAAATAGGAACATTTAAGAAATTATCCAAAGCAAAAACAGGCAGGTGATTTAAAATAAAATAAAATAAAATAACTGCCATATCTTTCTAACAGAAAGCTATACAACAAAGCTATTCAACTGACAACTGGACATCAAATCAAATCTACTGTATGCAGATATGAACACTTTGGCAAATCCAACACAGAAGTGAGGGAGAATAACCTGATGACTCTGCAGAGGCATAACAGGCGTAATACGGACGTAATGACAGGTCACTGAAAACAGCAGCCGCCTGAAACTATCCAACAAGCAGGCTGGGTGTGAAGCCCCGACCCGAGCCCCACACACAGCAGCACAACTGTCAGCTCCCAGGGGTTGGAACAGTAACAGCAGGTCAGAGGGGGTGAAGGGAGTCGATGCAGCGTTCGCCCCGTCATCCTAAACCCTAATCTGGACGAACAACAATTAGCCTTTGATAACGGCTCTCCGGGAAATTGCTGACAGGCTTTCTACTGAAAATAGAAGTGTTGAGGCTGATCCAAAGACGACCAAATGAAAAATCTGCAGGCTGCAGATTTTCAGCTCCAATATTTAGCTTGTGTTATGTTGTTAAACTGAGCCCCATTAACTTCACAGCAAGAATACATAATGTTACATAGAAACAGAAAGAAATTTGGTTTTATCTCTCTGAACTGTATTTCTGCAGCAATCAGGTGCTTTAGAGCTACAACCCTGACTTTTCTGCACAATCAAGCAAACTTCCTTTAAGAAAATTATAAACATCCATGAGATCTCCGCCAGCAAAACCAGTGGCATCACAAGAGGCTTAAAGTAACTGTATTTTCTTGCTTCAAATATCTTCAAATATCTTCCTACTAAGGAGTTTACTTGTATTCTGAACAGCTTCAGCAAAAACTTATGAGCTTTATGCAGACCTGCTGCATTAAGTGCTAGCTCTGCTAGTACAAAAAAACCAGAAAGGCTGACATAGAACCAGCCCCATGCAAGCAGTTATTACTGCAGCTCCAGTTCATCATTTTAGTCTCCATGGTGGTTCTAGAGTCAATTTACCAGGGGAGTCAGTGTTGTTCATGGGGGGAACAGACCAAAAACATGCATAACAATCAGGGCAAGAGAACCTCATTTAGTATATTAAGTGAACCATAAAGTCAAGATTTAGACTCCTGATCAAACAGGTGAAAACTCAGATTCTAATTTAATACGGCTGAAGCTAGCTGAATGTTTTTTTCTAAATTAAAATCAAATGTAAGGGTGAATTATTGAATTGGTCCAATTAATAAATCATTGCAATCTCTTTTCTCTTGCATATCATCATAAAAAATTTATTTAATATTACACTGCAATAACTGATCTAAAAAAGTAACAATTTCTTAAAATATGTGTATTTTAAGGAGAACATGAAAATTTTTGCTCTCAAAATTAAATAATTAGACTTTATGCACTTAAAAAAAGATAATGGATATATTTTTTCTTCTTTTAAACATGTTTTCTTATTCCTCCTGCAAGGGATATTACACTTTAAGAAAAATAATGACTTAAGGACCAGTTTTATAGATGCTCTGGCCCCTGTTAGCCCCTGTCTAGAAGCACCCATGAGCAAAGGGAACATGTGGGAAAGAAATCCCAATTAGCAATAGCCAGTACTAGCTGTCAGCAGGAGGTTTTGCTATGGTAAGATTGGTGAGTTTGGTGGAAGACATTTCTTGAAGCAATTTCCTCTCAGAGGTCTAAGAGTATTAGATCAATTGGGTTTCGGGGGCGTTGTCAACCTGACTGAGTCTGCTATGAATTGCTGTAGTAAAAAAACAAAACTTCCTACATCAGCAAAGAATGGAAATAAGCAGAAGCCCCATCTTATGTTGTGAAACATCAGCTTAAATCCATTTTTTTATATTATTTTACTATTTCTAGATAAGCTTTTACTAATCAGAGCTTTTTTTCTTGTATCAGTCATTCAGAGAGGATAGTAAACTTCATCTTTAGGGTAAATTCAGAAATAATTTGCTCTGTTTACAGGCTGGAACAAGCCGCTCTGCATTTGGCCCCATGGTGCAATGCTGCAGCAACTGCCTCTGTCTCTCAGTGCCATCCTGCTCAATGCGTCAAAACCTGCTCTCTCCTGCTGATGTCTGCACGTCCAAACCTTTCCCTCTTTACTTTCTCATTCCTAACTGTGCGACAGGTAATCCGAGCGGCCAAACAAGCGATAAAAGCGACTTTGAATGTCGGCTTGTCCCACCACTCACCCCGCTCGATCTGCGCTCTGGCGCTGTCCAGCTGCTGCTCCGTGCCGATCTGCCCGATCACTACCAGCATGTAGTAGCTGCTCCGGTTGAACGGCAGCCCGGGTCGCTGTCTGCCTCCTCTCCGGCGGTGATGCAGCCTTTCCTCGAACCCCGGAGCTCCGGAGTCTTCGTCTTCTTCCACCACCGGGAGCGCACCTCGCATTGGTATCTCCATGGCAACAGCCTCCGGACCCGACGCCGGGCCTGACTCCATCGCCATGACAACTACCGGACGGTGTGTGTGAGGAGGGCGGCGCGTGGAGGGCTGAGGGAGGGGTGAGGAGGGCTGTGTGGACAGTTGCAGAGAGGAGAGGTTGGATATTTCAAATCAGCATTATGAGCAACAAAGCTTTGAACAACAGAGTATGGCTGAATGTGTTGAGGAAACACTTCATATAGTTGAATGATGTAAAATTATATCAAATAACTACATAGTCCTATGAACTTGTTTAACTTTGTGAAGCTAGGTACAAAATAACAGTTCAAGGTATAAAGGTATATTCAATTCAATTTAGTTAATTAATATAGCGTAATCTCAAGGCACTTTACAAAGATTCATTTAAACCAGATCATACAGTCAAACTGATCCAAAGTTTTCTAAGGAAAACCAGTTAATTGCTTTGACTTATTGACTTGACTAAAAGCATGCTTGTAGTGACAGTGGAGAGGAAAATCTCCCTTTAAGAGGAAAACCCCCCCCCCCCCCCCCCCATCTAAAATGGCAAAAAATAAAAAAGTACCCCTTTGGCACCCAGTATTCTGGCGAGACAGACAATGGGAAGTTCCAAAACGTTAATTAACCCAAATCACAAAACGCAGAGCTGTGGACCTGCAGAGGCTGCGAAGGAAGGTGGGGCACCACCCATCACTGGCACTCTGGTTTAAAGGTTCAGTCCATCTTCTCCTAGCAAGGTAAGATCAAGCTGATTGACTGCCTAACGAGATGCAGCAGGAGCCGCCCAGAGTGAGCAGGAAGGAATCCGAGCCAGGTCAGGCAAACAGCTCAGAACAGGACAGTTCTGAGATCCAGGAGTCTGCAACCTGGCCAGGGGTTCCAATCTGAAACAGAATAGACAGATCCAGGGCTCCAGGAATCCACAGAGCATTCTGGCAGGTTCAGGGTTCCATGAGTCCAGCAGAGAGCTCAGGCAGACACAATCAGATGGAAACAGGCAGGTTCAGCAGTTGAGGGTTAGAAACATGACACAACACCTGGAAAACTGTGGAACTTTAAACCGGCCAAAACAGGAAAAAGGCTCGCTCAACAGGCAAGAGCCAGGACAAAATAAGAAAATGATAGGTCAAGACAAAAAAAAAAAACCCTCTCTAACCACTGGCCTCCAAGAACGAAATCATAAATCTTGGAAAAACTCAAACTAATGAACAAACATACATCAAATATCTGGCCCCAATGAGTGAAATGAGTAATTATTTAAGCTATCAGAGCCGCGATCATGGCAAAAAGTGTGCTAAACTGCCCTCAAGTGCCCTCTTTAAAGCAAAAGCATGTGCAAAAGTTTCCTTTGGAAACCAAAACAGCAAACGTCAGTGAATCTACAACAATCAATCTGCTCATCGTGCCCGGCACTAAGATTTTTATCAGGCTCAAAAAGGACAAAGTAAACAATATCAGTTTGAACCACATTGCTTCATTTTAACATAATCATATGGTTTTGATGTGGATTTTTATACAGTAAATATATGACTACGTCCCTTCAATACGAGTTGTTTGCAACTAGTCGCAAAAAAGTCTTAAAAGAGGCAGATGGAACAGGATTAATCTTGGGTGGTTCCTCCCCCCTTGTGGCTCAACAGTTGATTAACATGTGCTAAAGTATCTTCCAGGAGCCAAACATGTGCTAAAGTACCCTTTCAGAAGGTAGAACTTTTATTAAAGTGCCGTCTCGGGAGCTAAAACGCGTGCTAAGGTGCCTCTCAGGAGCCAAAGCTGATGTGGAGTGCCCCCACGGGAGCCAAACCACGTGCTGAAGTACCCTCTCAGGAGCCAAAGCGTGTACTAAAATGTCCTCTTGGGAGGCCAAACACATGCTTAAGTGTCCTCTCTGAGACTAAAAAGCATATTAAAGTACGCTATCAGGATCCAAGAGGTGTGTTAAAGTGCCCTCTTGAGAGCCAAAACCTCTCTTGGAAGCCATAACGCGTGCTAAGGTTCCCTCTCAGGATGCAGAACCTGTGTTAAAGTGGTCTCTGGGGAGCCAAATCAAGTGGTAAAGTGTGAGGAGGGGCTATATGTGCCTTTGTCTTTCCCCTGCCCTAAAAAAAGTCTGTGCATTCCACTGCTCTTGACACAATCAAACAGTGAATCTTTGCTGTTGAAGTTACAACCTTTTCAGGGTCATGGGTAGTAAACATGATTGTAAACATGGGTTTTAACACTGTTTTTCATTACCTTTTAAACCCTTTTGAGTTATGAAATGTTTTTTTTTCATGTTATTAATGGCAACTCTTAACAGGATGGAGAAGACAAAATCACTGAAAGGAATTGTGGTGATGTTGAATTTATTGGACATATTGTATAAGTTAGCAAATACAATAAAGTGTTTGTTATAGCAGTTTTTACGTTGTTATCTTTTCTGTGTTTCAAAATGTGAGATGTGTTTAACACCAAAAATATGACTTCTGAGGCTATTCCTTTAACTTTACTACTGTGTTTTATTCAATAGGCCACCAACCTGGGCGCCCATTAATGTTAAGTTCAATGCCCATACAGGTAGGATGTCACATTAATGCTGGGATTTTATATTTGTGATACTTTAAGATGTTTATTGCCCTCCCCGGTAGGGGTGGTAAAATATCTTATTTATATACTGTTTATGACACAGCCGTACTAGCTGTGTGTTAGAACAATAGATGAAAGAGTGATTCAAGCACTAATCTTGGTCAAACAGTTATTTCTGCACATACATGGAATAAATTCACCACAACTTCTGTTCAAAATATAAAAGTTTATTACCAAAAATCATTCAGCTCAAAGTCAAACATATTTCAGTTTAACACTCTTAACTAAGACTAGTGTAACTAAACTAAACTAAACTGAACTACTATGTACAAAGAGGAGGTAAGCATGGTTGAAATTACAGTTTAAGGTGGATATTGTGTTTGAAAACCAAAGTTTATCTGGAAGAATTTGGGATATGATCAAATTAGTTTTTCACAAATTTAGTGAAATTGGAATGTTTTCAGACCAATTCACAAAGCAAACCCATGAGGTAAATAAAACATTATTTGGCCAAATAATGTCTTATTGAATGATTTGCTTAATCAAGAACCAATAACCTTTAGTTAAATGATTCTTTACCCTCTTTGAAATGGCTAGCAACGAATAGACATCAGGATTCCATGAAATGACTCGTGGTCATACTTGCTAATGGAAATGTAATGAGTATTTGAGGAACACATGAACACTAATGTTATATCAGTGTTTAAAAGCTTAGTGAAATGAAGCTTGTCCAAGCTTCAACAACAGCTCAACACATGTTTCAGTATAGCATAGCATAGCATGCAGTCCATTCTGTTAGGTCTGTCTTTACTCATCAGTAAACACATGTTGTTTGTTCTGTCCCTAATCAAGCCGGACCTGCAAACCTTTTTTGTCCATGTCCATTTGGAAAGGTTGAGTTTCATCCAGCTGCAGCTCAGCAGTCACGCCAGGCTCTCTCTGTCTTAGTGGCTCACAGCAGGGGTCCTCTTAGTCTCAGTGGTTCACACCCAGGGTAGGCCTCTCATCCTGTCTGGCTCTACAAGTTCTGAAACTCAAGAGAAAATTGTGTCGCAAAAGGTCTGTTTTACAGCAGTTTGGTTCTGAAAGGTACATGATGACTTATTTTTGGAGATCCGGGTCTTCTGGGGCCCAGATCGCCATCCTGCCGGAGATGGACCCCAGCTTCATGGGCAAGGCAAAAGAGAAAAAATCTGGTTTTCTCTGTGGTTTTGTCTGTTCTCACACAGAAGAGGGGCTGGCAAGTCACAACTCTGTGGGAGGTCCTGTGGAGGCCTTGGCTGAAAAAGGGGTGCCGCATGTGTCCCCCAGCTTTTATTTACCAAAGCTGCATGTTCTCCTCAGTTTATCATGTCAAGATGAAATATGGACACTGGTTACAAATGTCCAAAGACCATGATCATGGCATATGGCATAACAACTGGATTAGAGCATGAAACGGGCCTTGAAAGTCAGCCCGAAACCGACCCGAGTCCGAAAGAACCGGGCCCGTGCCCGGCCCGTTATGATTGACAGCTTCGTAGAGCCCGACCCGTTTGCAGCCTGACATTTTTCAATTGTGCGCATTAAGGGCTAATCTCCGTTTCACTTTTGTAACATCCATTTTGCATTCATCGCGTATAGATCGAACGTTATCACATGATAATTTATTTGCCGCGCATATAACGGTTTAAAGCCCGAGCCCGGCCCGGCCAGAATGAAATAATAAAAAGTACAGCCCGAACCCGCCCGAACCCGGCAGGACCTCTCGGGTCCCGTCGGGTTCGGGCTAATATTCCCTGCTCTAAACTGGATAGGACATAAGGTTGCAGAGGGGTCAAAAACAATTACTCATTATTCTTTACTGGCCAGGCCGTCACTTTGATGGAGACAGATGTCAAATAAACTTTTACAGTAACAAAATAAGAAGGGTAAAATAATGAGAATAAGTAATGTTACAATATGAACTTAGTTGTTTAATTATGCTATTAGCAGTCTATCTCTAGCCTTTTACCAGCTGAATAGAATAGAATGGAATAGAATAGCACAGAATGTACAGCAAAAGGAAATAGAGAATAGTAGGAATTTGTACCAATAGCAGCATGAATGTAGACGCTAATGTAGCAAATTATGCCTTTGATGGATAAAACAAAGATTAAAAAAAACTAAAAACATGCAAATAACAACAGTGTTTAAAAAAACCCTGGCTAGCGTTGCCAGATAAGTCTAATTTTCTCTACAGTTCCCCAGGGGAACCAGATCTCCAGAACCATCAAGGATAAGTCAGAACCTTTCAGAACCAAACTTCTGCAAACAGACCTTTTGCAACACATTTCTCTTGAGTTTCAGAACTTATACAGTAGAGCCAAACTGGATGAGGACCATGCCCTGGGTGTGAGACTGAGGGGACCCCTGCTGTGAGACTGAGACAAAGAACTCCTGACTGAACTGCAAAACTGGATGAAACTCAAGCTTTCCAAATGGACATGAAAAAAGGTTTGCAGGTCTGGCATGATTGGGGACAGAA